ACCCACAGCCCATAGCCTTGGGGACACGGCCAACACCTCGGTCACCTCCCTCGGGCAGGCGGCATGCCGTGGGAGGGACCCAGGCCTCCCGTGGCCCAGTCACGATCTGCCGCACTTACACGGGACCTGTGTCATTGCCGTATTGGGAGGGGCCGCACGGAAAGGCAGGAGAAATGCCCCTGTGAGCTGCAGCCCGGGCCCCAGGCTCCACTTGGTGGGTGAGGGGACCCGCCTCCCCGGAGCACACGGCAGCAGTGACGCCTGCTCTGTGGGGCTGAGGGGGTTCCACGGGCCCTGAGCTGAGGGCCCGGCACCCTCTCCCCATCACTCCCACTGACACCCCGGCAGCGGCCGTGGAGAGCGTCCAGGGCTGTGTTTCACCCCTCCTCAGCCCCACAGCGAGCGGTGACCCTGCGGAGGCCTCTGGAGCTCGGGGCGCATGGGCTCGTGTCTTGAATGACAGCGGCGATGCCGCGAGGCTCGTGGAATGCGACGCTCCGTGGCGCTGAGGCCGCACTCGCATTTTTCTAGGTGCGCATAGTGGAAACAGAACCAAAATATTATCACAAGGCTAAGTTCTGTTTTACAGCCGCCGTTAATATATGACAGTCTTGTTTTCGTTTCATCTAAACACTCTCCCTGCGCTCCGGGCAGCTGCTTGTTCTTCTGCTCCCAGGCAAAGGACGGCGGCGCCCAGGGGCCGTGTGTTCAGCTAGGAGCGGAGCCACAGACACAGACATGGGGTCCCCCCGTGCAGTGCTGCCCCCAACAATGCTCCAGAAAGACCCCTGCTTTCTCCTGCTGGGGGGTGTGGTGCTTGGCTGAGCGAGGTCTGTTCTTGGGGTTGGGAGAGAGGAGAGAAGGTATGTCATTTCCTTCAGGGTTGGGGGTCCCTCCCTGTGCTTCTGGAGCTGCTGGGTAGCCTATGGATTCTTGAGATGTCTGTGGGCAGCTCTCCTGGACAGAACAGAGAAGGTGGGGCCCCAGGACCCACCCTGGCATGGCTGTGGCAGGTGCTTACTCTTGGGCACCAGCCCTGGCCCCAGACTCCCACCCCAGCCGGCCACCTCCCCAGCCCGCCGCCCCGCTGCGGCTCCTCAGGCACTCAGATGCACAGACTTTGGAGCCTCTGGCCTGCTTCCCAAACCTCTGCGAGACCACTTGGCCATGAGAAATGACCCCTTGGAGCAGCCAAGGCCCTTGACCCCCTGGCACCATCCCGGAAGCCCAGTTTCCTACCGCTCAGCCCAGATCCTTCTCCTTGGTACAAACAGGGCCCGCTGCCTGCCCTCCCCCAGCACCACCGAGAGGAGCAGGGAGTCCCTGGCCGGCCAACCAGTCTCAGGGGGAAAAGATCAGGACATGCGTCACACCGACACACAGCGACACGGTGCTGTACAACGAGGAGGAACATTCGTGGACGCGTCACTGACCCCGTGTGGCAGGGAGGGGCTGAGGTGGAGGGGCTGCCGGGCAGGAAGACGACAGGTGGGGGCGGCCCACGGTCACCCAGACCCAGGGCTCCTTGCGGGCAGAACGCTCAGGTCACGAGGTTCCCCCACAAGCGGCTCCCAGGGGCCAGGAGGCCTCAGCTCACGGGTCCTAAATTCTGTCCTTTTCCCGTCGGCCAGACCCGCCACTTCTTTCGCATTTTCCCACATGCTCCTCCTGCTTCCTCGGGCTTCGGGCTTTATCTTGTTTTCCTTCTCTCCAGTCTGGGAGTGGACCCTTAGCTCATGTGCTATTTATTCTCTTCTGCGCACGATGAAAACATCTGAGACGTACGTTCCCTCCAACTGCGTTGTCGGCAGCCTCCTGGATTCGCTGCATGGCGTGTTCTGTCCTGGCGTTCTCCGAACGTGCCGTCTCCTGCCGTCGCCTCCCCCGGGGCTGCGGTCACTTGGATGCCCCTGTCAGGCTGTCTGCTGACCTCAGTGTGGTGGAGGGTCTACCGCTGCCCTGGGCACGATGCAGAGTCCTCATTCATGCGGCGGCCCTCGGGGTCTGCCCGTGCACGTGGCTGCTGCTTGGGGGCACCTGTCCCGCGAGCTGCCTTCACAGGGGACAGCAGAGGACAGGGTGGACACCAGTGGGGGCTCCCCTTCTGCTGCTCCCTGGAACCCTGACTTACTGTTTCTTCCATAGAGTTCTCATTTCTCAATACTCCTGGCCTGACCTGGGGATGGCACCTCTCCCGACCTCGGAATGGGCAGTGACCCTTCCTGCATCGTCTCTGTTCGGACCAGACGGGGTGTGTGTCCGTCACTACGTGCAGGGTCGTGCTGCTGTAACAAACACTCCCGCCAGAGCCGACGTTGATTTCTTGCTCACACGAGTCCGCTGTGAGGTGGCGGGGGCCCTGCTCTGGACGGTCCTCGCACCAGAACGCAGCGCAGGCCCCCACCTGAAGGACTGCTGGTCACCACGTGAGCACGGGACATCATGTGCTGCTTCTAGAAGCCTCCCCAAAGTGCCACATGTCACATACATGTACTTCTGTGGGCAGATCAAGTGCACGGCTGTGCCTGACTGCAGGGGGAGCGGAGGGTGCAGGTCCGCTCCGAGCCCGGGAAGTGCCAAGCCACTCAGCAGGTGGAAACTCAATCACACCACTCGCGTGCACATCCACACGCTTGCATGCTTGGGAGCGTACACAACCACATGCAAGAACACCTGTGTTTGCATGTGCATACACATATGCAGGTGCGCACACACACACCACGGTTCATGTGCTCCCAGGAGCTCGGGTCCGTGTCACCAAACACAGCCCCTCGTCTGAGGCGGGGTCTCTGAGCGCGGGGCAGTGAGTCAGCCGTGCGGCCACCTTCGGGGAACCTGGTCCCCGCAGAGCAGCCGTCAGCTCAGCCGCCCAGGAGCCACCCTCCCCAGGGTGCTGTCCTCTCCCCCTGCCCTCCACATCACTCTCTCCAATCCTCCCTGCTCGGGAGTTGGGGCTGCCCAGGGCCCCCACTGGGCTGGGGTAGGGACGTGAGGTTGTCCTGGGAACCAGGACAGTGAGGACATGATGCCGGACACAGCAGGGCGTTCAGCATCATCCACTCAAGTTTTGTGTCCGGCAGTGGGGTTATTTTTTCTCATCTACATAAGCCCAGGACCCAAGTGACTGGCCAGGACCCCCAGCTGGGGCACGGGAGGACCTCTATTTCTCTGGCCCCCAACCACAGCCCAGGCATCCTCGTCCAGTGTGAGGGGCAACCCCAGGCTTCAGGGGCAAACCTGGCCACCCCTACAGGTGTAACAAGGTGCTGTTTTTAAGTAGGAATTACCCCAGAATAAGACAAAACCGTGATTCCTAACTATCCAGCATCGCCATTGAGAAGAGAGGTTTGTTTGTGTTTTTTTAGTAGGCTTGACATTTTGGCACCGTGTAATACTTTACATAATTGCAGAAAAGATTAAATGTTTGAGAAGCAATCTCTAAAGAGCAGATGAGACGAGGGGAGGCAGCTGACCGTGAGGGCCCGTGGCAGCCCCAGGCAGGTGCTCCAAGGGACTCGAACATGGCGAGGTGACACCGACCGCCGCCAAGAAAATGGGACGTCCCCAAGACGTGGAGGCAGGCAGACCGAGGGGACACCTGATGACACCAGGACACGGCTGTTCGTTGCGTCTGGTCTGGTGCTGGGTCAGCGGCCACGCTTCTCAGGGGCCCCGTCTCCGGAGCCGCCTGTGGAAGCCCGGTGGGTGGCGGTGCGTGCCCGGGGCTCTGGGGCGGGGGCGGGGCGGGCCTGCGGCTGTGAGCACGTGGCCGCCAGCACACGGCCGCCTTCAACGCCCCTGCAGTTTCTGTGTGCCTGACATTTGTACAACAAAGAGCTAAAAAAAAATACCACTCAGGCTGCGTTTTCAACCTGAGGAGTAAAGGACTATTTTTGGAAGAGATGTCTGTATGGCCGAAGGGTCTGCTTTCTGGGGAGCCCGCGGGTCAGGCAACCCGGCCGGCAGGTCTGCGCTCGGTCTAGAGGCTGCCGCAGTGACCCAGAGCTGACCCCGCACTAACCCTCCCGCAGGCTGGGGAGGGGTCGAGGGAGGGAAGACTGGGAGCAGGTCACACCTGTGCACCCTGAGTGTCTTCTCATCAGGCGAGCAACACCGACAGAGGCAGCCCGTGACCCCGGTGTCCCTGAGGCCCAGTCAGAAGGCCCGGCTCCCAGGTGCCCCCGACCCCCAGGTGGGGCCCCAGATACACCTGGCGAGAACCCAGGTCTCTCTGCATGCATGAGGTGGACTGAAGATGGGTCGTGACGGGCCAGGGGACAAGGGGCACATTAGCTCAAGGTGGGGGCTTGGGTCCGTGGGGCCCAGGGCACCTGCAGGAGGCAGAGGGAAGGCTTGTTCCCACGGGAGCCCCGCAGCCAGAGGGCTGATGGGTACTGGATTCTCTAATTAAACATTGTTATGTAATTAGAACCTGCTCCCCAGCCCCGGAGAGGCGCTGAGGTGGGCGTTACCACCGCTGTGCCAGAAGCCCCAGCTCCAAAGGCAGGGAGGTGGCTTGTTGGGAGGGGGCTGGTCCGGGGAAAGGGGGGGCACTCCTCCCAGGGCACCCCGAGCCCCGGGCTGACCTGCACTGAGGGCAGAGACCCAGTGTGTAAGTGGGGGTCCCGGGGCATCAGGAAGCGTGGGGGCATCATCAGGACAAGCACCAGCAGCTCCCAGGGCCGGGCCCCCACTCGGCCTGTCATGTGGGGGCTCTCTCTCTCCAGGCCTCAGCTGCCCCTCTGGAGAGAAGGTCCCAGCCAGGGCCCCGGCTTTCCTGGCCCCCAGAGCCTCCCCTTGGGTGTGGGGGCCAGAGTGACAAGGAGGGATAAGGCTCCAGGCCTGTCAGGAGGTCCCCAGAGACTCTATGGCCCAAGTGCCTTTGTGGCCCCAGAAAACAACGTTTGGGCTCAGAAATACAAGTAATCACCATTTCTGCACCAAGAATCTTACAACTAAGATTTCTCCAATCTTAAGGAAAATGTAAGAAACACGACCAACACCAGGAATATGCATGTAATTCTCATGTTAACCAGTGTGATTTGAACATCCTCAGAAGGAAAGCAGTTTAGTTGAGTCTGTTTGACTTGAAATCAAGAAGGTTCCCCCTCCACTGTCTCAGGTCCAGGAGCAGGGGCCCAGCTGCCCCAGGAATGCGGCAGCAGAGAGAGGCCCGGAAGGCTGGCGCCCCGCTATCTCCGCCCGGCGGCCGGCTCTCCTGACGTCCTGGAAGCAGCGCCCTGGAAAACCCCGGTCATCGTGGAATCACGGAGGGGCCGCACCCCCACACCTCAGCCCAGGCTGCCAGCTCAGGGCAAGCGCCGGGGCCCAGTGGGTGCCGGGCAGGGGCCAAGTGCAACCCGACACAGCCACCAGTACAGTCATCCCGCTGCCTGAGGGTGGGACCCACACCCAAGCCAGGGCTCTGAGGGAATGCCAGCAACCAGTGACCGGGTCCCTCACGCAGTGGACCCCTGGGGCCCTTCCTCCGCTCTAGCCACACATCCTCCAACGCCCCCACAGGCCGTGGGCAGCGGGTCCCCGCCTGGCACAAACCCCACGCCCGTTCCCGAACACCCGGAAAAGGCACGCACTCCCGCTCCCATCCTCAGACCAAGGGTGTAAGTCAGTGTTTCTGCAGGCCGACCTTCAAACCTGGGGTCCGTAAGAACAGACCTGTGTCACTCACAGCACAGCCAGGGCACAGGAGGAAGCCCCGCCCCACTGTCTGGGCGCACACAGCATTTATTGACCCGCTGGGAGGGGCGGGTGAGGGCGTGGTCTGCCCCACCAGTGCTAACAAGTGACAGTCTAGGAGGCCGCCCTCCAGGTTCAAGGTGGCAACGATGAGGAGTAGGCCCTCTCTGGCACCTGTTCGTCCCCGGAGCTCACGGTATGCCCCGGGCCAGGTCAGAGCAGGGCGCCGCCATCCAGCTGCATCTGCCGGGCCAGCTGCTGCCCGATGGCCAGCAGGGGGCTGGCTCTGTAGGCGGGATTGGCCAGCAGGTCCCGGAAGCGGGTCCTTTCTTCCTCCCTGAAAGAATTGAGGTCAGAGGTCAGCAGATTCATGCCCCTGAAGCAGTGGGGAGAGCATTTTGCACACAGGACCTGCCTCGACTGGGCCACCCCACACCCAGGCATCACAGTGCAGGCTGAATGGACAGGAGAGGCCGGGACAAGGGGCAGGGAGCGGGGAAGGCAGACCGAGCTCCTCAAGCAGGGGCAGAGGCAGCCTTCTGGGCCAGGCCAGGGGGGCCCAGGGCTGAGCAGGGCCTCGGGTTGGAGGGAAGAGGCTGCCCTGGGCCTCCTCATCATTACAGTGACCCTGGGGCCACCGTGCCTGCCCGCCCACCCATGGGGTTGCTGGCTCCCTGCCCCATCCCCAGGGAAGAGGGGGTCTGGGCCCCCACCCCCGACCATGACAAGGAGCCGCTATTAAAAGCAAGAGGCTGCCATGCGCAGGGAGGCAGCAGTCTGCACGCTCCCGGCAGACAGCCTTACATAAGAGGTGCCGCCCTCCGGCGCTGCCAGAGCAGAGTCGGCCCTGCAGGCACGAAGGGCCCGGAGTTCTGCGCCCCTCACAGGCCCAAGGCCAGCTCTGCTCACCATAGTGACAGAGGTGGCACCTGCTGCCCTCCCAATGGAGACAGCCTGACGTCAGGAGGAGTAGGTGGAGGACCAGCCTGTGCTCTGTCCCTGCATGTATAACCATGGGCAAGGCCACACCAGGCCAGGCCCCAGCTTTCCCGGCAGGAGAACTTGAACTCCACTGGGCAAGTGACTGCCCTAGGCAGGTGTCAGCACCTAGGATGGCATCTCCCCCCAACCCCACAAGGACCTGGGCCCAAGGGCAAGCCCCAGGAGGCGGCAGCAGCTGCTCCCCGCATTGCCCCAGCAGAAGGGGCTTCCTGGTTCCACGCCAAAGAGGCTGCTCCGTGCCAACCTGGCTGTGCCCCGGAGCTGGCCCTGGCCGAGCTGCCCACAGCACCCGAGTGGACTGAGGTTGGGGGACCTGGCCAGATACCTGACAGCCCTGGGGGCGGGGTGGGGAGGGAAGATGGGAGCACCGGGGCCTCGTTCTGGTGTGGGGGTGCACTCACAGGAGCTGGAGCCTCTGCGCCGCGCTCATCCGGCTCAGCTCGGCAGGCCGGGGCTTGCTGCTGGCTCGGCTGTGGACAGAGAGGGCACGTCAGGGCCACACACGTTCGCCTGGTCCGCCAAGGGCACCCCTCTGCAGCTGCAGCCCACAGGACGGCTTCAGGAGGGCACCGGGACCAGCACCCCCCTCCCAAGGTGAGCCTCTGGGAGTGCGAGGGGGCGGGAGGGGGGAAAAACTGCCCAGGCTTGGCCGACTCCTGAACTCGCTCTCCAGGCCAGGAGGCTGAAGCTTTGATACTTCTTTTTGAAACAGGAAGGAGAAACCCTCTGGTCCACCCAGGACAGCTCCTGCACCCCCACTCCTGTCACCCCGGCTCAGCCTGACTCGGCACCGACTCTGCTCCAGGACGCTGCTCCACTCCTCCTGCCACCGACCCTGTCCCCGTCCCTGTCCCCGAGTCCGCCCCGGGCACAGCGTGGCTCTCCCGGTGCCTGCGCCTGCAGAGCTGGGGCTCAGGACTCCCCTCCTCCAGCCGGAGCCCCCAGGAGGTGGCCATGCGCTAGGAGGCCCAGGGAAAAACGGTCTAGCACAGCCCTGCCAGCCAGAGGCCTCCCGCCTTGGAAACCCTCCCCCACTGACTAGAAGGTAGCATGGCAGTGGGCGGAGGCCTCCCACAGCCCCCGCCAGTCCCGAGGCGGAACAGACAAACCCAGGAGGCTCTTCAGTGCCCACAGGGTCTAGAGTAGTTTAAGCCCTCCTTGAAGGGTGGGAGGCAAGAGGGGGCAGGACCCTCACCCAGCCTCAGGACCCGGGGCCTGGTGGGCAGTGGCCCTGAGGCTGTCGGGGCCTGCCCAGACAGGCCCGACGTCCACCCCAGCAGGCTCCCCGTGAGTTACGGACACTGTGGTCAAAGCTGGGCGGGGTAACCCTCTCAGCCCCGCAGCACCCGGCGTGGCTTCCACACACCCGCCCCGTGCAGCCCCCGCTATCCCGACAGGTGTGGGCTTCAGCCCACCTGGAAGCGTGTCCAGTGGGGAGCCCCTGGCTGGGCCATCGTGGCCCCGAGCTCTCCAGGCAGCTGAAGGTGGACACTCACCCTTGGGTCTGTGGTCGCCTAGCACCGGCTTCCAGATCCAGCAGCTCAGGGAGGGCGTCCCGAAGGGGCTGCAGGTCCCCCACCACCACCGTGGCCCGCCTCTTCCGCTCCGCCTTGAGCTTCTGCTCCGCCAGCTTTATGGCTTCGATCTCTGCGGAAGGGGAACAGGGGTCAGAGGAGGGTCAGAGGGGTCAGAAGGGGAACAGGGGTCAGAGGAGGAGTCAGAGGGGTCAGAAAGGGAACAGGGTCAGAGGAGGAGTCAGAGGGGTCAGAAGGGGAACAGGGTCAGAGGAGGGGTCAGAGGGGGAACAGGGTCAGAGGAGGAGTCAGAGGGGTCAGAGGGGGAACAGGGTCAGAGGAGGGTCAGAGGGGTCAGAAGGGGAACAGGGTCAGAGGAGGAGTCAGAGGGGTCAGAAGGGGAACAGGGTCAGAGGAGGAATCAGAGGGGTCAGAAGGGGAACAGGGTCAGAGGAGGAGTCAGAGGGGTCAGAAGGGGAATGGGGTCAGAGGAGGAGCTGAGGGCTGAGGAGCCCAGCCATCGGAGCCCAAGCCTGGGCCTGCTCCCTTTCCTCCCCCTTCCTGCCATAGGCAGGCCACTCATGTCCATGCTCCTGGCACCTGCAAGCCGCCCTGGGCACCGGGGGCGCAGGGAGGGGCAGGCCAGCTCCGAGCTCTTCTCGCCCCGTCACAGCGGTGCCCTTCTCAGTTCCAGCATTGGCAGCGACAGGAGTGCAGGCACTGCGGACTTTTCCCCTCAGAGAAAAGTTCAGGCCGGGGCCCTCAGTGGGTCGGGGGAGCCACACAGTCCCAGAGAGGTGGGTGGGTGCAGTACATGTTCCTCGGCTCCCCAAGTGCCTCCTGGGGATGCACACGAAGGGAGAACCCCGTGGGAGCGGGCAGCAGTTCAGGGTTAGAAGTGGGGCTCCTGACACTGAAACGGGGAGGGGACCAGTGCCCGGGGGAGGCCTCAGAAGACTCCGCCCAGCCCCGGGAAGGGGCCCTGCGCCAGAGGGAGGGGTAGCAGAGCAGAGCAGGGTGCAGAAGAGCCCGAGGGTGAGGCTGCGGCGGGTGGCAGGGCAGCGGCCTGGGCCCTGGAGAAGAGGTTGGGGCAGGGCCTCACCAGGGCACAGCCTTGCAATTCAATTTCCACTTAAACATGTATTTCGAAACTGCTAATAAAACACATAATCAAACATGTGATTTCCGTAGTGTGGCTTGTGGAAAATGCTGGCTTGCTGGTGGGTGTGCGAATCTTGGACACAGGTCCCCCTTCCCCAGGGCCAGCGGCCAACAGCCAGCGGCCAGGCCAGGGGCTCGAACACCACCAGGGGCCCCGCAGGCAGCCTAGCCAGATCTAGGGCACGGCCAGAGGCCGCTACGCTCACTGAACCGGGGCTAACTGACCAGAGTCCTCTCGTACAGGAAAAAGGGTCTGCCACTAAGACCGCTCGGAAACACGGGCAGTGACGGGCTTGGGGTGAGACCTGGCTTCAAAGCCGCCTCCCCTGGCTGTAAGTAACAAGGTGTGGGCTCTGAATCACATCTAAACAGGGAACAAAAAACCCCTTCTTGACCAAGGACCAGGACAATCCACAGCCAGCTCCTCGCAGAGCACAGGATGCCCCCGGAGGACAGGCAGCCAGTGGCCCGGTGGACCAGTAGCAGGCCGCTCCCTCTGTGCATTCTCGGGACTCCGAGGCCGGCCAGGCCCTTCAGAGCCCAGGGCCACCATCAGCCCTGCAGGGCGGATGCAGGAGGCAGAGATGGGCACAACAGTGATGGCCGCCAGGGGCAGAGCAGGCAGGGAGAAAACAGGGACCTGGACGGGGAGCCCCGAGCCTGAGGATGGATGCAGGACAGCCCTCTGATTAATGCAGAGAAAGCGTGCGTGGCACCGGGCCCCGGCACGTTTGTGAAAGACACGTGGTGAGTGAAGACCCTAACAGGCATTTCAAGGGGCAAATTTCCAGAAACGAACACCATTCATCTTCCGCCAGGGAGAAGCGCCTGGCAGGCTTCCCGAAGGCCAGCTCTTCCAGCGCGGCCCGCCCTGACACCCCCGGCTGCCCAGAGCCAGCTCTGGAAGGCCCGCCCTGTGCAGAGTGGGTGGTTCTCTGGGCCCCAGATAACTGAGTTCAGGGGGCGGACCGCCCAACCTCCCGGGTCCCTGTGCAGCGAACCCCATACTATCCCTCAGAGCCCCGGGGTTATCAGACTTCATAAACTGACCACTCACATCTTCCCATCCTTCCAGGATGAGGGTAAACCGTTTGCTCAGCACCTTATCACAGCAGACGCCTCTTCCTAAAGAGCTTAAGCACCCAGGGAGGGCCCGGGGCAGGCGGGGGGGTGCTGGGGTGGCCGGGGTGGGGGCCTCAGGCTGGGGAAGGAGCCAGGCGGAGCAGTGCTCCGAAGCCACCGCCCCTTTACCAGCTGGACTGGCAGACTCGGTGACAATGCTGCACCAGGGCCAGGACCCAGAGCAGCAAAGCAGACCCCACGGCTCCCAGGAAGATGGACACAAACACTAAACCAAGCAAAGCCAAAGCACTCTAAATTAGCACGTGGTGTGCAACTACGGAGTGTCCGGAGCACGCAAGGCCAGCTCACGTGGGGACATCCGCCAGACAGTCCACTGCCGTGGCTGCCTCGGAGGGGAAGGCCCCTAGTCACCCGAAGTACCAAAAGAATCCAACAGAACTCGCTGCCCACTCGTGGTAAAAACGACAATGAAACCACGCACGGAAGGAACTGCCTTGACCTGACACAGAGGATCTACCACCCAGGCCTGCAGCAAGCGTCACACCTGTGGTGAAACCGGGCCACGCTCAGTTACGAAGCAGAAGAAAAGGACGACTGCGACCCCGTGCCTGTCCCCGCCGGCGGCACAGGGCCAAGGGAGGGACGGTGGACGAGTTGACCTCAGCCTGGAGAGGCACCGGCTGCAGTGACAAACGCAGGAGCCGGCCTGGCCTCCCCACCAACCCACACGTCTGACGCACCTCAGTCACACCCAACAGGAGTCTTCAATGAACCTGAGATGCTCGTTCAAAATTGTATGTTTTAAAAAGCCATAAATGCGTAAGAATAGCAGAAACAGTTCTGGAAAACAACAAGCAACCGAAGAGCTGGCCTTCTGGATGGATATTAAAGCAAATTAGGCAAGGGCGGAACTTCTGACAGACCCACGTGCGAGCGGGCTTCCCCGGCAGGCCGGGACTTGAGGCAGTGCTCCGCACGGGCCACTGGCCAGCCCCCCGCCCCCTCCTTCCTGCTGCTCCTGAAATTAATTACACAAGAATTCATCACGGCAAATCAAAGAGAAATTAAAGGCCAAAAACCCAGGAAGAGCTGTTCAACCCCGCCTGAAATCAAGGAAAATGACAATGGTGAATGCCATTTGTCACCTGCCAGGGCGGCAGATTTTACAGGCTAAAAATACCAAGTGTGAGGGGTCTGGGGACAGCGGGGACAGGGAGCACGAATGCCGGCGAACGACTGCGCAAGGATAGTCAGGCGGAGCAGCACGTGCCGTCGCCCAGCCTCCTGGACCCGCAGGGCGCCCCACGAGCCCTGAGAGCCGGGCTGTCAGGCAGGCCCCGCCTGGAGGTTCTGGGTGCTGGGGAGCATGTGAATGGGAGGAGGGGGGTGGGCATTCCAGTGGGAACACTGGCAGGGGCACGGGCCCTGGGCAGGAGCTGCGTGTGGCAAGGTGCGAGAGCTGGACCCACGGGCGAAAACCCACACGCTGCCGCACACCGTGCACGTCTAAGCCCCACGCCCCAGTGTGAGTGCACAAGTGAAGAGGAGGGCCTGGCAGTTTACTCTCGCACAGCCAACCAGTGCTTGCTCCTGGGCAGAAAAGCAGACGCCAGTCTGGTGGCTTTATCGCTTTTCCTCGAAGAGTTTCATAACTTACTACTCATTTGCAACAAAACATTACTCTGTCCTCAGAGGTGGATTTCCTTCTACCCCAGCTTGCAAGGGGAGAGGGAGCCAAAGACGGGGAGAACCCTGAATTTAAGGGGTGTCGGCTCTGTGCCAACAGGCTCCTCTTCCTCTGCCCTGTGCCCCACAGGACCCACCACCCCTTCTGGCAGAGACAGTGGTGGAGGGAGGAGGGAGGGCGAGCTTGAGGAAGTACTGCCCTGCCGCCCCTCCCCCCTGCTCTCCTTCTAGGGACAGGGCTCCTCCCTTTGCCCAGCAGGCCAGGTTGGTCCTGGTTTCCCAGGACCCCAGGGCCTCATCACCCTCACTGCCCCCCACCACACCTCTGTACCTAAGCTGTGCACAGCCCCCTCATTAACTTCTCTCCAGGAAACCCTTCTGAGGGTGCTGGGCTAGACTGACCCACAGGCTGACGTCTGCCCCTGGAAGCAGGGATTCATGGGCAGCCTACTGGAGAGCAAAGGGGGACGAGAAAAAGCCCCTTCTATCAACTCTGTGGTCTAAAGCAGCAGGTTCTGAAGCAATGGCGGTTGGAGAGCACCCCCAGGGCCTGGCTGGGGGAAGGGGCGGCGGAGCCCGGCCCCCACACTCCCCTCCAGGGCCCGCTGCTGCAGGAAGGGCCCCACAGGCTGACGGGCTTCACCCTCAGGGGTTTAACGTAAAACCGGCTGCAGGTGTAACCAAGGAAGCAAAATAAAGCTTTCCGTCAAGATGGCAATTTGGGTAAGCACGGTACCCGCCTCCTCCCACGACCACGTCGGAATTACAACTGAACTATGGAACCACCACCCTTCAGAACCACCCAAAACCTCGCAGAACCTGTAACTGGGGACAGAAAGAAGCAGCCGCGTCAAGACTGGCAGGAGAGGTGGCGGTGCTGAACAGGCTGGCCCGACACCCGTGTGCAACAGTTACAGATCGGCAGGGCTATGTGGAGGCCCCCCTCGGGAGCGAGGGGTCCCAGCCCCACACCAGGCCCCCTGCCCAGGGTTCCAGTGCCGGAAAGAGAAGTCCCCACAACTCCTGTCTGAAAGCCAGCGGACACTGTGGCTGAGTGAGACCGAGGGCTTCTGGAGTCCCAGGCGTCCCTCTTAAAGGGCCCACATGCTGACTTCCTCGGACTCACTCCCTCTGAGCTCCATCGCTGGGGCAGCACTTAAAAGATGCTGGGGACATACAGTGGGGAGGCTGAACTGCCCATCA